ATATATATAAAAATATATAGAGGAAGCTAGCAGACTATTAAAAGGAATTTTATCTGAGTTAGAAATAAGTGAAAGCTTTCTCAGATTTGAAGCAATAAGATGTTAGAAAGGGAAAAAAAAGTTCACCCAAATGACAATTTAAAACCTATGTACACTGAAGAATAAAAGGAAAAAACAGATTGGGAAATCTATTTGTACTGATACAACACACAAAGCCTTAATCTATAACATCTGGTGAGCTCAATAAGGATGAGAATGAGACCATTAATAGATGTATTGGCTATGGATATAAATCCATTGATAAAGAAATACAGGTAATTATTGACACATGGGAAAAATTTTACTTTGAGTAATAAGAGAAATTCAAATTAAGGCAATAGTGAAGTACCATACATTCCTTCACTTAGCAAAACATTTTTAAAAACTGCTAACACAATCACTTGGAAGAAACTAGCATTTTGTAGTGAGAACCAACATGATGTGTATTTATGGTGTGCCCTTTATCTTATAGAAAATCACTTCTGAATGTATCTCAAAGAACTAATTACAAAGGTGGGAAAAAGAACCATATGTACAAGGTTTTTCATTTTGGTGTTAACTATCTTAGTGAAAAACAGTGTCTAGCAATGAAGAAATTGTTTAATTATGATAATATCACCTCAGTTAGCCTTTGAAAATGATAATTATGAAGCAGAGTATAAAATTATATATCCTATAATTATAGTTAAAGTTAAGAATGTAGATCCAAGGGAGGGAAGAACCTTTTAGAGGCAGTGAGTAAGTTTAGGGCGCTGGGTATGGTGACAGTATCTATTCATGAATGTATACTTACTTTCAAACTCGTCAAGATGTATACATTAAATATATGCAGCTTTGCTTGTGTCAGTCATACCTGAGCAAAAACAAAGTTTACTGTTTTGATTTTGTGCCCTGTGGCCCCTTCCAGTGTCTTAATCCTATCATAAAAGTTACTCTGATCAGTGAGATGCATGACTTGTTACTGAAGATTTGAAAATTACTTACAACTTGTGAGAGAAACATTTAGAGATTAAATAAACCTAGTGCAACAAATTAAAAGCAGGATAAAAAAGGAAAGAAATGTAGGTCTATGGAAAGAAAGACACAAAAAAGAAGCTGTTAAGTTATTTAAACTGTAGGTGATTTACTTTCCCCTTAAAATCATTTTAATCTTATTATTTTTATAATACTGTGTCATAAGTTGGAGATATGGTACAAACAAGATAAACAAGATAGCTGTTTTGAAACTTATAGATTAAGTGGCATATTTGTGAAATAGATTCTTTAAAATAAAGTCTAATTCATTACGTATGCTCTGAACAAATGTATCTTATGCATACATATATTTGAAAACCCAAATATAATGGTTTCATTTTTGAGTATTTAAGCTTTTTCATGAACTTACATGTTTTTAACCTTAACCGTAATTATAGTCCACACAGTTTCACACTCTGTTTTTCTCACTGAGCCTTATGTTGTACCTTCCACGATGTTACATGGTCTTCATAATTCTTTATGAATATAGCTGCTTCTTTAAGTTGTTCACGTGCAACACGTTCCAGTGTATCATTTTGTATGCTTGTTCTCTTATCCTTCTGTTCCTTGTAACAGCCAGCAACCCCAACACGCACAATAGCAGCAACCCCAATTCAGACACTTCCACAGAGCCAGTCAACACCAAAGCGAATTGACACTCCCAGCTTGGAGGAGCCCAGTGACCTTGAGGAGCTTGAGCAATTTGCCAAGACCTTCAAACAAAGACGAATCAAACTTGGATTCACTCAGGTAGGATGAACCCACCCTTAACTTAGAGATATCTCCTTGACTGGGTCCAGATCTGTGCTTTACATGTCCAGAGAAGCTTCTGAGGTGCAGAAGGTTCCTTGGCCTTGTTGTCACTTAGTTTTAGACTGCAACTTGTTCTTAGCCATTTTCTGCATTTATAAATTTAGACTGTTAATCATATATCCAATTATATAAGTTTATGGTTTAATGTTAGGTTAAAATCTTTAAGACTTCTCTCAGAACACGGGCCTCTGAAATCATAATTAGACCAATAAAAGGTGAGAGTTTAAAAGATTATGTTTGGGGGGCGCCTGGGTGGCTCAGTTGGTTAGGCGACTGCCTTCGGCTCAGGTCATGATCCTGGAGTCCCGGGATCGAGTCCCGCATCGGGCTCCCTG